ATTCACTACGAAAGTAGGTTTCACATGTTTAAGGAAATTACACTATAACTAGCCTAAATGTAGTATTCAATGATCCAAATGTAGCACTTGCATGAGTAGTTAGGGATACCACAACTTAAGGAGCTTTTATTTGTTATTTTGTATAATTTCAGTAGGTTAAATTTCTTATAATTCATTGATAGTCTAAATAATAGAGAAGCTTTAATAATACCGGTAATTGTTCACTCTTCCCTGTGGGATCGACCCGATATATACCCTAAACTACTAGTTGATCTGTATACTTGCAGTGAACGGGTGTAATTCGGTTTTTTAACTTGTACGTATGTAAAATACCCGTCACCGCCTATACACTAAATTTTCTTCCATATATATATATATATATATATTTCAAATCTTAACATATAAGATATGTCTTATAAAGAATCCAAATCCTTATGAAAATTTGGATTAATCAATTATGCAGTAGGTATAATTGGATAAAGTGAACTTAAGATCAGATTCAGATATTTTGTAGGTTGTTCTTGAGAATAAAAGGAAAGAAAAATTGACTAAAAAAAGAAGAGCAAATCGGCTCTCTCTGCTTCATTGGGTTGATTTCTTCTAACTCGAAAGTTAGAATTCTCTCATCTTCTCAAGAAATACTATAATCTTCTCAATCTAGATAAATATTTTATTTTCTAGATAAATTAGTGGGAGTAAAATAAAACTTAATATAGAACATATTTTAGAAGACTTTTTTGACCAAAATAGATCGCATGAAGGGTCGAAATAAGAAGACTATTATAGCGATAATACCACTTGAAATTTTGACAATGTCTTACCATAATGCCAACATATGATGAGATTTGATAGGATTTTATTTTGATTGATATAATAGAATATTTGATTGGTATGATTGATTATCTTGATTAGCAAGACAAAGTTTGATTGATTGTCTTGACTAGCAAGACATTCCTTTTAGTTCTCTAGTAGCTAGTTAAGCCTATAAATAGGCACTTGTGTTAGGCATTGAAATACACCTTAGCTATCAATAAAATGCTCTTGAGATTTTTTACCAAGTTCTTCTTAAGTTTTCTCATGGTCTCTTAAGGTTCTCTAAATCTTGATAAGAATTGTTCGTGAAACACGCTTCATTATTTCTTTAAATTTTTCGTGTAACAATTTGGCCTATTTGCTTCCACATCAGTTGGTATCAAAGCTGGCTTCTCCTACTTCTGTATCAATAAAAACTGAGACGCAATTGCTTAATGAGCTCATGGATCATTTAGAGTTTTCCTATACCTGCATGGAAGAGAGTTAGAACTGTATGCAAAGGATTCTTGAAATTTTATTATAGTGTTCAGAGGAGCCATGTGATTAGGATCGAGATGGTTATGGTCAACCGGATGAGAGAGTGCCTCCTAACGGTACTTTGGCCAGGACCACGCAAAGGAAATTTGACCTACAATGATTCGTCTAGTGAGTTTCAATTGTAAGAACAACCCCAACCCAAGGCATTATCGGTGTTAGGAGCATCAGTCTAAATAATACAAATTGAAAGCAGATGTCCTCTCCTTCAATGCTAGTTTGGAAATTGAAGACTTCATTGACTAGGTCATGGAAGTCGAGCAGTTTATCAAATACACGGATATCCCAGAGGAATGACAAGTTAAGTTGGTGGCATATCAACTTAAAATCAATGCTTTTGCTTGGTGGGAGCAGTTGTAGATCCAGAGGTGATGCCAAGGAAAGCAGCTTGTGAACTCTTGGGTAAAGAATGAAGCGGTTGCTAAAGTCTCATTTCCTACTGCTAGATTATGAGCAATATCTTTTCTCACAATTCCAGCACTGTACTCAAGGTAACATATATGTTCCCCAATACCATCCTCATTTCTCATGATTACTTGCCTATAATTGGTGTCAAGATTCTTGGATGACTTGAAAGAACCCATTCAGGAAAAGATGGGCTGTCAATGTATACTTATCTTGTTAGTTGAGTATAATGTTGCTTTAAAAGCTGAACGACATTTGTCATCAAAGAAGTCTTCGAGGATAAAAAGTTCACAGAGACAATATGAGTCAGCCTATGCTATAGATTGTGTAAACCAAAGATCTCCCCAAGAGATACATGCAGGTTATTATGAGGACATGCACCCTATAGGAGAATCCAAGGAGGCACTAAAATAAATCAACATCAATTTTCCACCACCACTACCTACTCATACCAATCTAACAACCCTTATACTTTTCTAATGACGGATAAGTGTTACAGGTGTAGATAGCCGAGGCATACTTCAATTAATTGTCCAAATCGCAAGCAACAAGTCAACATGGCGGAACATGTAGAAGGGGAGTATGAACACTATCCAGAAGTAGAGCAATTGTAGAACATCAATTGTGACCCAAACGAGGTTGACGTGGAGACATTTGATCACCCAGTCTGTGTTTCATAGATTAATATTAGCACCAAAAAAGGAGAATAACACCTGGTAGCACAAGCTCTTCTAAACCAGGTACTGAATTTTCAATAAGTTATGTGATTTAGTTATGGATAGTGGAAGTTCTAAAAACTTTATTTCTAAACAACTTGTTGAAAGGTTGCACTTACCCGTCGAAAAGCATCTTGACCCATATACTATTGATTGGATGAAAGACATTGAGTCCATTACGGTCACTGACAGATGTATAATCTTATTTCCTATTGTAAAATATTTTGATGAAATTATATGTGATGTGGTTGACATGGATGCATATCATGTATTAGTAGGTCGTCCATGGCAATATGATGTAGATGCATACTTAGGAGCTGAGAGAATATTTACACTTTCGTAAAGGATGGCAAAATGATCACTTCAATGCCTTTAAAGTAAAGTATGTGTTCTAAGTCAGAATCTTATGAGAATGATAATAGAAAATTTTTAATTGCTGCAACATCGAAAGGAGCCTTCTTTGCAGATGTCAAAACTAAAAATTTTGACAATGGTGCAAATAGTCCTGAATGAGTTTGAGGACGTGATACTTGATAAGCTACCTATAGGTTTACCTCCCTTGAGAGATATCTAACACGCAATTGATCTTGTTTTGGGGCGAGTCTATTAAATTTACCACACTACTGTACGAGTCCTAAAGTGAATGAGATCTTGTAGCAGATTATGGAGGATTTCTTGAAATGAGGATCCACTGGAGTTAGGATGAGTCCTTATACAGTACTAGTTTTGCTAACTCTTAAAAAGGATAGTTCATGGGGGATGTGTGTTGATAGCCGAGCTACCTTTTAAGTATCAATTTTCAATTCTTAGATTGGAGAACATGCTAGATTACCTATTTGGATCTCAATTCACTCAAAGATTGACCTTATAATGGATATCATCATATCCATATTCGTCAAGATAATGAATGTGATACGGCATTCAAAACCAGTGATGGCTTGTTTGAGTGATTGGCGATACCATTCGAATTGTCTAATGACCTAAGTACATTTGTGCATTTTATGAATGAGGTTCTAAAATCATTCATTGGAATTTGCTGTGATTTACTTTGTCGATATTTTGATTTACAGTGCTACTGATCAAAAGCACTTGGAGCATTTGCACCCAGTGCTAGTGGTTTTGCATTCCAATAAGTTGTACATCAATTTGAAGAATTGCATATTCATAGTGACAAACTTGGTCTTTTTAGGCTTGTTATAAGCGCTGATGGCATTCGCATAGATAAAGAAAAAGTGAAGGTTATTTGTGAACGGCCTACTCCATGTAGTATGACTGATGTACACTATTTCTATGGCCTGCCAACTTTCTACAGGTGTTTTATCCATAACTTTAGTTCAATTGTGGCACCATTGATAGATTGCTTAAAGAAAGAAAAATTTTAATGGGGTCTTGAGTAAGACTAAGAACTTTGCCTTAATCAAGGAAAAGCTAACCATCTCACCCTGCATTGTTCTTCCAAATTTTGACAAACTATTCATAGTGGAATATAATGCCTGTGGCATTGGCATCAGAGCTATTTTATCTCAAAAAGTAGGCATATGGCTTTTTCAGTGAGAAATTGAGTGAGACTCGCCAGAAGTGGTCCACCTATGATCAGGAATTCTACTCAATGGTTCATGCTCTAAGGCATTGGGAACACTACTTGGTCCCAAATTAGTTTGTGCTCTATCCGGATCACTAACCCGTAAAATACATCAATAGTCAGAAGCATGTGAGTAAGATGCATCCCAGATGGAGTACTTATCTCTAGCAATTTTCATTCTTTCCAAAGTACAAAACTGGGTAGGAGAACAAGGTAGCTAATGTCTTAAGTAGCGTGCTACTTTACTTGTAACTATGAACCATGAAATTATAGGATTTGATATATTGAAAGAAGCCTATGCAGATGATGATGATTTCAAGCGATTGTGGTTTGTATGCAAGACTAAGAAGACACAAGATCATTATTATATATATGATGGTTATCTTTTCAAAGGTAATCGTCTATGCATTTCTCGTGTTTCCTTGTATGAGCAGTTGATTCGTGATTTGCATGAAGATGGTCTTAATGGACACTTGGGCATTGATAAAACTACTTCAACTTTGGAGGAGAGGTATTTCTGCCCTCAATAAAAGCGCGATGTGTGAAACTCTGTAAGCAATTCTACGCTTGCCAAACAACAAAGAGGCAATCTCAAAATACGGGGTTGCATATTCATTGTCTGTCCTTGAAACTATTTGGAAAGACATATCAATAGACATTGTGTTTGGACTACCTAGAACTCAAACAAGGCGTAGATTCTATGTTTGTGGTTGTTGACAGATTTTTCAAGGTGGTGCACATTATGTCGTGCTAAAAGACTTTAAATGCCTCTCTCATATTGCTCAACTATTCTTTCAAAAGGTTGTTCATTTGCATGAAGTGCCAAAATCTATCACTTCTGACAAAACACCAACTTCTTGATCCACTTTAGGCTAATCTTGTGGAGGATGTTTAACACTTCGTTGAATCTCAGCAATATGCCTCACTCTCAAATAAATGGTTAGACAATAATGGTCAACCTTACTCTTGGCAACTTGGTGAGATGCATTTGTGGAGGACGTCCCCAACAGTGGGATCATGCACTTCCTCAAGCTGAGTTTGCATTTAATAATACCGGTCAGAGCTCAACTAGGAAATTGTCATTCTCTATTGTGCATGTGAAGCCTCCTAGACATGCAGTTGATTTGGTGAAACTTTCTAACATTCCAAAATATAGTGCTGCAGTAGGAAATATGGCAAAGGATACTGAAGTTATACTGGAGGAAGTCAAGCAGAAGTTGGAAGCTACCAATGAAAAATTTAAAAGTATTGTAAATAAGCATCGTCGTGATGCAGAACTCAAAGTTGGCAATGAGGTGATGATTTTTCTGCTAAAGAGTAGTTTCGAATTGATCAATACCATAAGCTGCAACCACGCAAATATGGTCCTTACAAGATTTTGCAAGGGATGAATCCATATGCTTATGTTATTAATTTGCCAGAATCATGGAGTATCTCAGGTACGTTCAATGTTGTGAACCTTTACCTGTATCTTCCATCTGATAAACCTCTCTATCCTACTCTACAAAACAACTTGAAGATGGGTTTTTCTCATGTGGGAAGGACTGATATAAATAGATTTCCGAAGATTTTTTGACCAAAATAGATCGCATGAAGGATGGAAAGAAGAAGACTATTATGGCAATAATACCACTTGAAGATTTGACAATATCTTACCATAACACCAAGATATGATGAGATTTGATAGAATTTTATTTTATTTTAATTTGATTGATATAATTAGAATAATTGATTGGCATGGTTGATTGTCTTGATTAGCAAGACAAAGTTTGATTGATGGTCTTAACTAGCAAGACATTTCTTTTAGTTCTCTAGTAGTCAAACGCACAAATAGGCCCTTGTGTTAGGCATTGAAACACATCTCAGTCATTAATAAAATCCTCATTGATTTTTTCACCAAGTTCTTTGTGAGCATCCTCACGGTCTCTTAAGATTCTTCAAATCTTGATAAGGGTTGTTTGTGAAACACCCTTTGGTTATTTTTTTGAATTGTTCGTGCAACAATTTGGTCTATTTTACTTCTGTGTCAGAACTTAAAACTTGAAAGAATTTCAAGTATCACAAAAAGAAGTTGAATAAATGCATGAAATTGAAACTTACATTTTATGTTGATAAGCCGTAGCAAGAGCTCCTAGAACAAGGGTTTCATAAGCGTTAGAAATATAGATTTCTTATGGAGAATCATGATATTTGATCACGGTGTTCCTAATGACGTATTAATAGTTTTACAACTTATAGAAATGATAAAGAACCATAAATCTAAAATGAATTTCATATTTAAAAAAAGAAATTAACCTTAATCAATCCATCTAAGGTTTAAAAGCCTATTAGGTGTAAGAGAGTTTTTAGAATAAGAACCAATATGGAAGGTAAAGTGTTATCTAAAAGTTTGATTGATAGAATAGATACCATTAAAGATAAGTAATTATCTTTAAAAAAAAAACTTTCTATCTAATCAACACATTTGAATTCAATTAGATTTATTTACTTGCTTTAACTACAAGTTATGGTATGGTTAGGTATGTTAATGGGTAGGGTTTAGATTGAATCATTTTGACTCAGTTGCAGATTCATTAAATTTAGCTAGACTTAGATCTAGATCCAGATGAGTTTGAAAAAGTAAGTCCATACATAAATTCTCATGGATCTAGGTACCCAATGGACATCCATTATATTTTTCTAAATATACTAAATTCAAAATATATTAAAAATATATAGAGTTAAAAAATAATATAAATACAATCCAATTTTATTTTCAAATAATAAAATTAATATTCAAGAAATTGAATACAATATTATGAATTCAAAAAAGGAATTATTATTGACTACTTCTATTTATTTTCAAAGATTCAATTGTATCCACACCCAAACTTTCTTTGTTTGCTTTACATTTGCTCTTTTTTCTGAAAATTTTTGTACCAATTATAATGACAACTTGGATAAACTTGAAAAAAGAAAACAATCATGAAATCTTACTGTATTCAATCCAAAGGCCATAGAATATTAGATTATTTTATAAATTTACTAATATATATACATACATATATGTATATGTATGTGTGTGTATATATATAATTTTATTATGTATGCATGGATCTGGGTAGGATTTGATATGGATCATAGAAAATTAGACTTTATCCAAACCCATGATCCTCTTACAGGATTTAGGTTTGGGTAGGATCTAGGTTTGAGAAATTAAATCTAAATTCCATCCAAATATATTGGGTCTGGATTGGATTTGGATAAGATTCAACCCATTGACAGCCTAGATATGATAAATAGATATTAAAATCACTTTCCTTAAATAGAAATAACAAATAGTTGTGTATATTATACAATTTAAAGTTTTTTACATTTTATGTGCCAATAAAGCAAATTTTTAAGAGTTGTATCATTTGTTTTAGTGAGATAATCAAAGAGTTTGATTTTATCAAAAAATATGGATGAATCTTGTGTTTATGTATGAATTACTAGGAACTATTTTAATTTCCTTATTATATATGTAGCAGACATATTATACATGAAATGAGTACACCTATACTCTAAAATTATAGGTATAGCTATCCATGATTTTAAACATGTAATTAAGGAGAGACAATCTTCTCTGGAGTAATGGTCTATGTCGATGGATCATGATTGCTTAACCTTTCAAAGTTCATAGATAAAATGCCAAAGATGTTTAGCATGAAATGATCTAAGAGGTGGCCTTATCTATATTGTACAGAATAATCTTTTCAATGTATTAGACTTATTGTCTCCTTTGGTTTATGAAGAATTAAAATTGAAAGTTCAAAAATATACTTTTAAACAATCTTATAAAGATAATTTGTAAGTAATTAATTATTTATTCATAATTTTGGTGTTGTGTGTTGAAAGAATTTCAAGCAAATTACAACTAAAGTTTCTACAATTAAAACCTTAACAAATTGCTATTTGAGAAGTGGCAAAGAAAAGCATTTGGATCTATAAGTTCAAATATGAGCTTGGACTGGTTCTCTTTGTTAGAAGTCCTTTATCTTATATTATGATATAATGAAAATTTGCCCTAACAAAGGAATTAAGGTCTCATCATAAATCCATAAACTTGTTAAAGTGCTACCACATTATTTAGTGAAATCATTGGCAGGAATAAAAGTGAAGATAAAAAAAGTACCCATGCATAACACCATAGTTGATCCATTTACTAGAGCTTACTTTTAAAGAAACATGATAGCCACATGGGTTTATTTGGTTTTTGACTTATGAGGGATTGTTTTTAATGTAAGTGGGAGATTGAAAGTGTATATCCCCTAAAGACAACCAACGTTTAGAGTTTAATATGCACTTGAACCATTGATGTTATAATAAATGACATCTTTATCATATTGATTGTTTATATATTTATATTTGTATGATAAAACTCTTAGAGTAAAGCTGATCGATAAAATCATAAGAGTTATGATGGTGAGATTCATTTGATTATACTTTTTTTTTGTCGAAACATTAGATTGTATTTCATCACAAAAACTTTACGGTAATTGAACAAAGGTCCAAACAAAAGAGACACCCGTCTCATGATGATCCTTCATGCATTAGCATCTAAGATTGGGATTTACCCATTCTTCATCAACCCAGCTATTTAGAGCATGCAAGCTCAATTTAATACTATCTAGTTTCCCTGTATTAGATACTGAAAAGGAGCACTAATGAAACAGGCTGCTAATGGATTGAATATCCTCTCTTATAGTTGCCGTCCGCCAGCTACTGTGTCTTGAGTCCACAATGAATTCCTTCAGCTTACTGCTGTCTAGCTTCACTTCTATGTTGCTCCAGCCTTGCTTGGCAGCATTCATTAGAGCTAGTTTGACAGCTTCCGCTTGGTCTTGCAGTGGATCTCCTGTCATTCTTTCTCTAAGTGCCCAGGCTACATGTAGTAGTCCTGAGTGTTCTGTTGCCATAATTCCAATTCCCACTGTATGATGGTCTTTGTCCATTTGGGTATGTATCTTTAGCAATATTCTCATGTCTCCGACTACATGATTTAGTTCAGTCCTTTGTTGTACTCCTATTTCTTGAATGCTCCTTCTCTCTTTCCTCCCTTTGTTAGCCTCTTCAAATTCCATCCACTCCATAGAAGCCTTTTCAATTATCTTGTGTGGTTCCTTGTCTTTCTGGTTGAATTCTCTCTCGTTTCTGCCTTTCCATATTTGCCAGAGGATGTTGACTGTGAGGTTGATTTGCTCCTCGCGTCCTCTAATCATCTGGGCTTCTATCACAGTATACCACCACTTTGGGAAGTTATCAGTTAGATGCACTAAACCATCCCACTGCACTTGAGCCATCTCCCATATTTCCTTGGCTTTCTTGCATTGGAACAGCATATGTCCTAATGTTTCCACGCTTTCTCCACATCCTCCACACATGGGATTGCCTTTGTTAGTTCTACTGAATATTAGCTCTTTGACTGGGAGTGCATCATGAAGACATTTCCAGATGAACACCTTCAGTTTTTGCTTCACCTTCTGATTCCACAGTGCTTTCCAAACAATAGAGGATGTTCTTTCATGGCTTGGACCAGCCTGCTCTCCTTCATTCCTACCTTCCTGTTCCTTTCCCTTCATCCATCTCTTGTATCCAGATTGTACTGTGTACTCCCCCTTCTGAGCATGTATCCAGTAGTAGCTATCTTGTTTCCCTGCCACACTTATTAGTATGCTCATAATGCATTCAGTATCTTGAGGGCAGAATGTCTTAAAGAGTAGAACTCTATTCCACCTGCAGTTGGTAAATCTGAAACCTGTTTCAGTTGGCATCCATGAGGCTTATTCGTTGTTAGTTTTCCATTTGGCCTGTTTGGGATCCACTTGTCTTCCCAAATTCTTGTTCCTCTACCATTGCCAATTCTTCTCCTTATTCCTTCTAGTACATCCATTCTTACTGATGAGATAATTTTTCATATCTAGGATGCGTTATTGGGGACCTTACAATTAAAAAGAGATTGCTTGGGGAAGTATTTCTCCTTCAATACCTTATTGACTAGCAAGTTTGGTTGAGTAATCAGCTTCCAAACTTGTTTTGCCAACAAGGTTTTGTTGACCATTTGCAGGTCTTTGAACCCCAAACCCCCAACCTTTTTATCCCTTGTCATCTTTTTCCATCCAATCCAGTGCACCTTTGCCTTTCCTTCTGCCTCTCCCCACCAATAATTAGCCATTTTGGAGCTAACCTCTCTACATAATTTGGAGTTCAATCTGAAGCAAGACATGGTATATATTGGCATAGCCATTGCCACTGATTTGAGCATTATTTCCTTACCTGCCTGACTCAGTAATTTGTTCTTCCATCCTTGCAGCTTCTTGTCTATAGTATTCCTGATAAATCCAAACACTTGCTCTTTGGATCTAGTTATGATCATAGGCAGGCCTAAGTATTTTCCCTGATTAAATTGCTGCATTGATCCCAGGACTTGACAAACATCGTTCCTCACATTTTGGTTCGTGTTCCTGGTAAAGTAGATTGCTGATTTGTCCATGTTAATGAGTTGCCCAGTTGCCTCTTCGTACACCTTTAGTATCTTTCTGAGATTGTCAGCTTCCTGAGCGCAGGCTTTGCAAAATACTAGCGAATCATCTATGAAGAATAGGTGTGTAATTGTTGGAGTTCCTCTCTGTTAATTCCTTTCCCACCTTTGCCTTCTGTAAGAGGTTTGAGAATCCCTCTAAGAACAAAATGAACAAATAGGGAGAGAGGGGATCACCTTGCCTTATGCCTCTGGTAAGGGTAATGTACTCCTTATGCTCACCATTGATGTTGAATGAGTATGTAACTGAGCTGATGCAAGATAAAATCCATCCTATCCAAGTAGAACAAAATCCCATTTTTTCCATTATGGCCTTCAAAAATTTCCATTCTACCCTATCATATGCTTTGGACATATCTAGTTTCACAGCCATGAACCCCACTCTACCATACCTTCTATTTTTTAGGAAATGCATTAACTCATGAGACAGGATGACGTTATCTAGTATTTGCCTACCTGGGACAAAAGCAGATTGATTTTTGTTGATACAATGAGTAAGAAAAGGCTTTAGCCTGTTAACCAAAATTTTGGTTGTGGCTTTATAAACCACTTGGCAAAGGCTAATGGATCTATATTGCTTGATTTCTGTGGGACAATCTACTTTTGGAATCAAAGAAATCACAGTATGGTTAATGGCTCTAAGTAAGACACTGTGGTGGAAAAAACCTTGGATTGCATTTACTAGATCCTATTTAATAATGCTCCAGAATTTTTGAAAAAACAAAGGAGACATACCATCACTCCCAGGAACCTTATTAGAATCCATAGAGAAGAAGACAACCTTGATTTCATCTTCTGTTACTTTTTTAGTCAACTCCTTGTTCATTTGGTCAGATATGGATATAAGAATCCCCTCTAATATTTCATCTAAATCTCCTATTTCTGAAGTCTTGAACAGATGTTCATAGTAAGAAGCAACCTCCTTTCCCACCTCTTCTTCATTTTCCGTCTATTTCTCCATTAGCTTTTCTCAAATTCTGTAACCTATTCCTCTTCCTCCTTCCTTTAACCATAGCATGGAAAAACTGAGTATTCTTGTCCCCCTCATTCAGCCATCTCAATCGATCTTTCTGGTTCCAGTAAGCCTCTTCTTCATCATAGGCTTCTTTTAATTGTTTTTCGGCCACCTGTATTTGTTGTTTCTTATTGTCCCCATTTAGTGCCTTAATTTCCTCAATCATTTTGTTGCATCCATTGATCTTTTCCAGTGAGTTCCCTTTTTTAATACTATTCCATTTGAGAAGCTCAATTCTGCAGTTTTTGATCTTCTAAGTCATTTAGTACCATCTCGTTCCCTTACTTGGAATGTTCCATGCTTCTCTGACTACTTTCTCCACTTCCTTGTGTTGAATCCACCTTTTATCAAACTGAAATCTTTTTTTCCTTTTCTTGTTTTCTTTCTGCGTTTTCAACAATAACATGCTATGATTAGAGGCAATAGAGCTAATGTGCTTGCAGCTAGCCTCATTATAACATTGAGACCATTCAAGGGTACTTAATCCTCTATCAATTCTTTCTTTAACTTCTCCTTCCCTATACCAGTTGTTGCACCAAGTCCATGGCTTCCCCTCAAATCCTATGTCGAAAAGTTGGTTGTCATTTATGAGGTTCCTAAAGTCCTGGAGACCCCTATCATCTCTAGTTCTTCCCCCTCCCCCCCATTTCTCATCATTTGAAGCTATATCATTAAAGTCTCCCATTATAATCCATTTCTTGCCCCATAGAGCTTTCCTTCTTCCTATAACATCCCATTGTCCCCTCCTTATAATCTGTTGGTGTGTTATCTCTTTTGTGTTTGTGTCTAGTTTGTTGATAATTATTGTGGTCATTGTGTTTTGTCCAGAAAACAAACGAAAAAGAAAAAAATTTTGCAGCTGCTAGGGCTTTCTTGTTCCTTCTTATCATGTCTCGTGTATTGTGTTGTAATTTGTCCGAAATCTTGGATGCTATTTCCTATTGCCTTTTGTCCAGATTGTAGTGTGTTTCTTGTGTTGGCTGTGTCGCTTTGGTTATGAAAACAACCTAGCAAAGTGTAAAAAAAAAAGAAAAAAGTGTCGCATACCATTGTTTCTTGAGTCGGGTTTGCTAGAATTTCTTTTCTTGGGCTGCCGAACCTGTTTCACCCTTAAACCTTGAATATTTGTGTTGTTTCTTGCAAACCTTGAATACCAAAAGCATAGTTGGGAAGTTCTTGAGCTTCTTGGACAGATTTCTTGAAGTTCTTGAAAACAAATTTGAGAGTTCTTGGGAAAAGACTTGGGTTTCTTGAAAACAAACTCCAACTTGTCTTGGCAAATTGTGCACCTTGATCGGAAAGAAAATTCAATTGTTGGGACTAAATCTGACTTCTTGAAAAGGGTTAGTAAGAGCTGCAAAAGAAAGAAATGGAAAACAGAAAAAAAAAGAAAGAGGAAAGTACGGCTCTAGGTCTGCTACTTGGAAAACAAGTCCCATTCTTGATCTACTTCTAATCCTAAAGCTATTTGGATTGAATTCAGCCAAGAAAGCCAAGAAACCAAAGCCAAACCTCCCTAAAACATCCTCATCCAGCCACATCAGATCCGAGACAACAATCCTACACCTTGTCTAATCAAACAGCCGCCACCCCTTGTTGCAATTTTTTTTAAGTCGGTTGCCATTCCAACTGCAAACCAAATTAGCTAATCTTCAAGGGTTGGAAACCACACCACTTGGGTATCTCAAAAATAACCGAAACTCCATAAACAAACCTGCCCAAGCCAAAAAGAAAACAAATGCACCAAATTCCAGCAATACAAGGGTTCAAACGGTCCAACCGAAACTTAACTTGTTAGAATCCTTCCCCGAGTCCAATTCTCACTCTTTGTGGACTAAGTCAGTGAAATTCTAGTGTGTTTCTCATGTCCTTTTTGCTTCCTTTTGAGTCGTTAGTCAGTCTTAAATTTTCAGCTATCCAAACACTATTTTTTTTGGGGAAAAACTTGATTGAAGTTTGATTGAACTATTTGGAGAAAATTTCTGATTTTTTCGAAAAAGCAATCAAGGGATTTGAAAAGTGTGTGGTGAGAACATTAAAGTGTTTTAAACACTTGAGTGATACACGAGGATGAGAGAAAGACGTGAGGGAGTGAGTAAGGATTTTTTACCTTAACATTTGTTGAAGTTTTGCAGGTTTAAACCATGGCCAATGAAAACGACGTTACCATTGCACAATTGGCACTAAAAATGGATGCTATGTGGAGAGAAATGCAAAGAAAATTTGAGCTTCGTTTTGAATCCATGAAGAGCAAATCAAACAATTGGACCCCTCAAGAAACTCCTCTAGGAAAACTTACCTTGAATGAACTCACTGACTCCAATTCAGAGAGGGAGTTCAAAAATGATGAGCAAAAGCCGAGGCGGACTACACGACCAGCTGACCGTGAAGAGGACCAACTCAAAGGAATAAAACTAAAAATTCCTACATTCCAAGATAAATCGGATCCTGAAGCATACTTGGAGTGGGAGAGAAAGATCGAGCTGATCTTCGATTGCAACCACTACACGAAGCCTCAAAAAGTAAAGTTGGCAGCCATAGAATTCACCAATTATGTCGTTGTATGGTGGGATCAACTTCGCAACAAGCAAAGAAGGAATGAGTAACCACCCATTCAAATGTGGGAGGACTTAAAGCAAATAATGAGGAAGCGCTTCATACCCGGTTACTACCACAGAAATTTGCATCACAAATTGCAAACCCTCACTCAAGGTAGTATGACGGTTGAAGACTACTTCAAAGAGATAGAAATGGTGATGATGCGGGCTGATATTCGAGAAGATGAAGAAGCCACTATGGCACGATTTTTGGGAGGGTTACGGCCCGAAATTGCCGACATTGTGGAGGTTCAACACTACCTTGACATGGGAGAACTATTGGACAAAGCCATCAAGGTAGAACGGAGGTTTAAGAGGAGGGGTACGGTTCGCCAAAACTCCAACTTCTAATCTGGAATTTGGAGAAATCCGACCCCAAGGAACGAAACTAGGCCTTCGATTGCACCTACTGCCTCAAAACCGAGTGGAGCTTACCGAGAGAGTATGAGGCCAAATGTCCCACCTTCCAAACAAACTCCAAAGAAAGGGTTTAAAACCAACCAAGAGGTCTCTAAACCAAGGACCCGTAACACTAAATGCTTTAAGTGTCAAGGGTTTGGACACATTGCCTCCCAATGTCCAAATCAACGGGCTTTGATCTTGCTACCCAATGGAGACATGTTAACTGATGAAGAAGAGGATGAACCCGAGGTGATGCCTTCGTTGGAAGAGGAAGTAGATGAGCTTGAGGAAATACCAATCAATGACACGGTTGGGTGTCTAGTAGCAAGGCGAGCACT